ATGTTGTTTCCCCTTAAAATTATTTCAAAATCTCATCGGAATCAATCGAATTGAAAAGGAAGAGAGTCGATCGACCCGTTTAACCCATTTACCTTGATCCATTTCAATCGTCATTTTTTTACCAAATTACCTCATTTTAAGGATACGAAACACTCTAATAGGTCATAGAAACATCTTTGGTTGGATATGGAGTTTTAAAATTATGTTTGGAGTTTCAAAATTAAGTATCCTCAGCAAAATTGAAGAAAGCGTAAGAGGGAGACTTGGTTGAAACTTCAACGAACGCCAATCTCCCTCCTCCATCAACGACGACTTGTGCCACAATCACGGATGGGTAGAGTGAGCCTTCTTTCACCTTGTGGACCCTTCCATATGCCAAGAGCTTATTAGAGCAACTACCAACAATGGTTGGACAATGGTAGAGCGTGTAATAAACGTGCCGAGGGCATTTTGATAATTTTTCCCTAGAGGCATTTTTGTCATTTTTACCAAGCATTGTAGAGGCATTTTGGTCACTCTTAGTGACTATTTGGCTTGTTTCTCTTACTCGTTTAATTTTTTTTTATTGCTTTATGATGTTGCTATGTAATAATTTTAATTTTATTTGTATTAGAAAACTTAGAAATATTTAGGTTGTGAAATTTATTTTAATATTTGAAGTTTGATTCGATTATGATGTCGGACCAACGAGTCTCCTATTTATTATTGATGGACGATGGTTTGATATATTTATAGTATTAAAAATACTAAAAAAAAAAATGAGTCAAGTTATTGATAAGTGGTTTTGGAAGTACTAGAATATTTCACTTATGTTACCATCCCAAGTTAACTAGTACTAATAAAGTTTGGAGGATGAGTTATAAACTCTTAATGAGGATTAAGTTATGGAATATGATCAATATATTCAGAATTTAATAGGAACTTCGCCTATATAAACATAAGGAGTGGTGCCGCTCCTAGCAAAAACTCAATGATCGACTTTTGAAATTGTTTTGTTGTGAAATATCCTACATACCTTTGAATAATTAGGTTAATTAGGTTGTTCCTAATTGATGTCGGGATTTTAATTCGGATTCGTTGCTAAATTGATGAAACTCTTAAATTTTAGCACTCGACGTTAATTTAATATGATGTCACATAAAAAAAAATTGATAATGTTTTCCTTACATGGCTCAAAATAAAACATGAAAAAGAAAAAAAATGTTTTAAGCATGTCTAATGAGTCTTCTATCCAATAGAGACCGATTTTAATTTAAATCAATCACATTTTAGTAATTAGGTCGTTCTCCGACATATTGATTATGTCGAGACTTAGACTGAATCCGATGTTAAATTAACGAGACTCCGGACGAGTAAGGTCCGATGATCGATTGAATATGATGCCATAAAAAAATAAAAAATTAATTTGGCTTAGCTAAGAAACTTGAAAATTGACTTAGAAATATTTTGATAAAAATAAAATTTTTAGGAGATAAAGTTTTAGGATTAAACTAGATATAATACCTTTTCTCAAAAGGGTGCATTTAGGTGAACGATATATTTACAAAAATATAACCAACTCCTTATCTTAAAATCCTTGAATCGAGTGTAATTTTTAGGTTTCCTAGTCCCTTCAATATTAGGTGACGATTTCAAAATAAATAATAACTCACTTCGCCAAACAAAAAAATTTCAAATTATTATTTTTATAAGTCCCACGAAGGTTGGATAACGACAACTATCTTAATTTCTTTTTAAAGAAGATGATTATGTTTTAAAATTTCACTTCAAAATCTATACATAGAAAAAAATAAATCATATTTTTTAGCAAATAAAATTTAATAAAAATTAAAAGTTAATTGGTTGAGAATTTTCATAAGAAATGACAAATTGAAGGAATTAATTTTAAACAATAAGAGTATTATAATATAAAATATATTTTTATTTAAAATTAGTAAGCACGTCATATTTTATTCTTGCCATTTTGTATTGAAAACTTAAAAAAAAAAAAAAGCGATTGATTTTCTATATTATTTGCAAAAAAAATCAATTCAAAAAAAAAAAACCCAAGGTAGTGAAATGAAGTTCAAAATAAAAACAAAAATATGTTTATATAAAAATATAAAATGCATTACATATATTTACTTCTTGCCATTTTATGCATAAAATTTAAAAAATAATGATCTTTTTTTTATATACAATTTTTTCAAAAAATTCAATATTTTTTAAGAAATTAAATTATTAAAAAAAACGAAGCTAGTGAAATGAAGTTTTGCATTGAAACAAAAATATATATAAAAATAAAGGACCAAAGTGTAATGCCACAACAACTTGCATATTAAATACTTTAATAAATCTTAAAAAATACAACAATTGCATAGCATAGTGAAAGAAATAGTGCAAATGAGTTTTGATGAAAAGTAAACTGAGTACTGGATGAATAGTGCTATGAATAATGAAATGAATAGTAAACAATGGTTTTGTTTTAGTGTTTTTGTTAATTAAAATTAGGAAGAGTTACCGGAAAAACCTTTTAAAGCATTTTGGTAAGGCTTGCTATCCTCCCAAAAGTGCAAAATTATAATTTGGACACAAACGTAGGATTTTCATCCAAAAATTGGAAACAAGCCTCATCGTCTTTCAAAAATGCGAAACCACAATTAAGACACAAACATAGGATTTTGACCCAAAAAATAGAAATAAGGGTCAACATCCTCCCAAAAGTGTAAAATTGGTCCTAATGTTGGAAATAAACATTTTCATCCTCTCAAAAGCACAAAATCACAATTTGGATACAAACTTATGATTTTTTGTATGAAAATTAGAAAGAAGCTTCACCATCCTCCCAAAAGTGCGAAATTAAAATTTGGACACGAATGCAAGATTTTGGTTTAAAAATTGGAAATAAGCCTCGTCATCTCCCTAGAAGCACGAAATTACAAGTTGGACTCGATTGTGGGATTTTGGTCTGAAAATTGAAAATAAGCCTCGCAATCCTTCCAAAACCGAAAAATTACTTGGACACAAACATAAGATTTTCGTCCAAAAATTAGTAATAAGCCTTGCTTGAAATTGGATTTTGGTATTAAAATTGGAAATAAGCCATGCCACCATCCCAAATGCGTAAAATCACAATATGGACACAAACGTAAGATTTTTTTTTCCTTAAAAATTAGAAAGAAGGCTCACTATCCTTCCAAAAGTGTGAAATTACAATTTGGACTATTCTCAACTTAACACTAGTTAATTATTAAGTATTTTGATAAGAAAAATATTGTTTGAGACTCGAGAGATTTAAAAATAAATTGATAGATTTTTTAGATAGAAGATTTCTTTTAAAGAGTTTTTTTAATAGTTATCTAATTATTATCTCTTTTCATATTTTTTGATAAGTTATTGTTTATTTTATTTTTATCATTATCAATTTCAAACTCTTTTCGATTGCAATCAAAAGAAGTTTCTTCAGTTTCTTTTATTGCTGATGGTCACTTTTAAATATTATTTTCTTACTTATTACACTGAAAAATTCCTTATAGAATAGAAGAGTTTTTATTTCTTTTTGTTGAACGTTGGTTATCTCAACTAAGAAATTAGTTGTATTACCTAATGGTTATAGCAGACTCATACAATTTAGTTAATTAATATTGATGAAATAGAACTCATGTTATCCTCTTGTAATTTAATCTATGGAGTAGCATACAAATAAAAAATTTAAAATATGTATGATTATGAATATTAGTAATAACCTACTATCACTTGTACTAGTCTTTAAGTAATCGAAACTTGAGATTTTTTTTATCAAGTAATTAAATTAAATTATGCAACAATGTATAGCATATATTGAAAGATAATATTTTTATTTAACTTAGAAATAATTATTAGAAAACCAGCTAGAAAAATCTTCCTTTCGAAATACCCACATATTTATTTTTAATTATTTCAAACTTAAAATAATCTATAACTAGTGTTAAGTGAGGGGTTAAATATTTGATGTTTTGATAAGAAAAATATTGTTTTAGATTTGATAGATTTAAAAATAAATTAATAAATTTTTTTAAGATAGAATGTTTTTCTAGTAATTATCCCTTAAAATTAATAATTGGGTAATTGGATAGATGACAAGATTAGGTTCCTCAGGTAGCAAATCAGCTCTGGACTCAAATAAAAAAGTCTAAAACTTGTAGGCCCATTATTTTTCAATGGAAAATATTGGGCCTATAAGCTTAGTGAGCCCATATTAAACGCCAAAATTTTCTCTTCTCAGAAAAAGACGCAAAATCAGAAGACAGGATCAAGAGCTGGTTAGGGCTTCTTCTCCTTTCTCCGTCGTCCTCTCATTATCAACGGCAGCTCTTTCAGAAGATTTTGATCTCCTTTACTTGTACTACCAGGTACCATTCTCCTTTACTGCTGAGTTACTATGATTTTGTGCTTAGTCATTATGATTTTGTGCTTTTCATCTTTGTAAATGAATTTCGATGCTTGCTAGAAATTTACTTGAGATTTCTATTGTAGGAATGGACTCGAAGGTTTTTCTTAGGAAACTAAAATCTGGTTTTTGTTTTCATCCAAGCAGCAACCTAGCTAAGACTTTAGTAGGATTTGCATTTCATGGATTATCTGATAAAATGAAAGAAAATAGCGAGCAACTCTTTCTTTCATAATTCCATAGCTGCAATTTGATCATTATTTCTTACTTGTTTTCAATGACTCTGAATGTCTGCAGTAGAAAATGTAATTAACGCAGTAAGAGACTGTATTTGACAGAGGGAAAGACCCATATTAGAAAATCCTCGTTTTCTTTTCTTATTTAATTTGACTGTATTTGATTATTTTCTTATTTAATTTGATAGAGGGGAAGACCCATATTAGAGAATTCGTTTCTTTTCTTATTTAATTTGATTGTTTGAGACTGAGCTCCTTTGACAATGTGGGCAAATGGGATTTGTACTTGGATTTCTTCACGAACTTAAGTTGGCATCTTTCGACTAAACTAATATCAGCTTGAGTAGAAATTAGAGATGCTCAGTTATGGTTTTGTGAAAGTGTATGTTATGTATGAATGTGAATGAGATCTTATTTAGTTGGAAGTTTTGCTGTTTATAATTGTGAAGGTTAGTGTTGCAGGGTTAAAGTTATGGCAATGAACAGCATTAAATCTTTGAGAGGTATCATGATTACTGAGGCAATGGGGATGGTGGACAGACGAACATTTTCTGCTGCGGCAAAAAAGAAAGGGGGCAAAGGGGGAGCACCAGCTGATGCTCCAAAAGTATCATCGCTGAGCAAAGAAGTCAAGTCTACAACTACGGTTGGTGGCAATATTCTCAAGGATGGAACAGATCCCAAGGTCTTGGCTGATTCTGAATACCCTGATTGGCTGTGGCATTTGCTTGATAAACGTCCTGCATTGAGTGAACTGAGAAGGAAGAATATTGAAACTCTCCCTTTTGAAGATCTCAAACGCTTTGTCAAGTTGGACAACCGGGCAAGAATCAAGGAAAATAACTTTTCGAAGGCCAAGAACTGATAGAAATAAATCTGCAAGAGACATTGTACTCTTTGTTCGGTACGATCCATCATCGACTTCTTGGATTCCTTGATGTAACTGAGTTGCATATGCGAAATGATGAAATGGAACTCAAGGGATGTTTTAACATATGCATGTAGTTCCTGCCCAGGTGCTTTTTCTTTTTTCACTCTTTATCTTTTCGTTAGAACATATTGTGCAGTTTAGAAGAGCATAATCCATCACGCATGATGGGATTTTGATCGTTGACTCAGCACTGTTACAACTTCTACCATGGCTTTTCTTTTACTCGATTGCTATAATGAGGTTTCTTCCTGAATAAACGGAAAGAAATTACAATTAGACTACTGTATATTGGCTTTTCACTCTTTTCACAAGACAGTAGTGCCTCATTGCTTGGTCAGAGAACTGCAACATCGACTTTTAACTGTTTTTACTTTACAAAGTGATTGTACTGTTTTACTTTACAAAGTGACTGTCGTATACCGTGTTTTTTGGCTAATTTCAATGTGGGATGGTGGTAATTATGCAGCTTCATGGCAGGATGCCTCACAATTGGATTGCTGTAAGATTTCCTTTTTCTCACGCAATTTGTGGCATGTGTGTGCATGTGTAATGTTGGAGAGCCGGACCCCTTTATGCATATGGTATGTTTGAATTGTGATCAAATATGATTTTCAGATTGTGAAAAACATTTCCAAAAACCTCTTGCTCTGCTGAGATTGTTTTAAGTCAGATCTTTCGGTTATTCTTTTTCCCTTTTCTAGAATAACAAAACGGATTCTTCCAATGTATAGAATAATAATTCTAGCGGGTGATGCTTTCGCCTAAATTTACAGAGCCACCCTTTCTTCGTGGCAGACAGGAAGAAATAGTTTTGTAGCTTTCGTCAGTTGTTGGGTTCCCATCTGTTTGTTTCTGCATCGACATATAAAACAGGAGTAGATATTGCTTCAGCTTATGAAATTCCAGAGTTCGTTGGCTTATGCAGTGGGCCCAAACATTGACATTGCCATTGAACTTGATAGGTGGAAGCCACCTCTTCTTGCCCCTTACCCAACTTAGCACTAGCGATGTCTATCTATCCTTTTCTATTAACTTGTACGCCGAGTGGTGCATGCATATCCCTTTTCTTTCGAATCATTAACTTGGTGGCCCTTTTGTGATGATGAATTGATGTACGACAATTTTGGCATTTTTATTATTTGCCAACTTTTCTTGTTGCATGATGCAGAGAAAATTGTGGTGTTGGAACAGGTAATTATGATCACAATAATCCATTTATCTTTATAATTAGGTTCCCAGGTATGGACTGAACCAGAAGTAGGAATGGCAATGGAGCAGGCCGGGGATGGCCAAACTCCGTCCCTGCCTCTGAAAATTTTTCCCTGTGCCCCACGCAGGAAAATATTTCTTATACCATTCCCGTTTCTAAATAGGATAGGGATCTTCATGGGATACCAGTGCCTCGTTTTATTTTTTGTTTTCGTCCCGTTCTATCTCATTTTATTATCAAATTTCAAACTATAATAATAATAAAAAAAATAATTCATATAAAAAATAAATCTTAAGAGTCAGTAGTTACAGATTTTATATGAGGTATAATAATAATTTAAAAAATGAAGCTGAATAAATGGGATTGGATGGATAAGTATCATTTTCGTCTCATCTTCAAAATAAATAAGAGGCGAGGCTTAATCAACTCATGGAATCCCTATATTTATTGAGACGGGACAAGGTAGAGTTTTGTCGGGACGGAGCAAATTGCCATCACTAACCAGAAGTCTGCAGCATTATTGCTGTATAGCATAAGATCCAAATCCCTAGAACGGCTACGGATTGAGGACCAGACTGGCTTGTTCTACAATGGAGATTGACATGCCTTGCTTTATGCCATGTGACGATGAGGGGTTCACTACTCTACCATTACACCGTAGACAAGAAATAGACCAGTGGAAGTAAGAGCAGAAAAAAGAAAAAAGGGTGGGAAGCAGGAAAACGATACAACAGGGAACTGAAATTTGACATAACATGCATTATTGTTGTTAAAGATGGCAACCCACCCTCTGTCCAGACTTTCTAATGTGGCACTCCAAAAAGTTAAAGCTGCCTCTCACATGGCCATCTTCCCTTTTAGAGCTACCTGATATCTAGTAGTTGGACTAGGGACCTTCAAGGAACCTAGGCATTACAGCTCACCAAATCTTAAATCAAATCTTTCCATGCATCCTCGAAACCTCACCAAAATTTAATCAGGAATAAATCATCTAACCTAAAATCCCAACTAGACAATCATCCAGACCACGAATGAGAATGGAAACAAGAGTTACGAGTTCTGGTTCCTGATGAGTGGTGAGAATGGAGAAAGCATGGAAATGGAAATAAAGAAGTACTAAATGTGGACCAAAGATCAATTAAGGGGACAAGAAGATCAGTGGTGCTACAATCAAAGCCATGGATGAGAATCATGACATGTACCCTAAAAGACTTAAAATCTCTCACATGGATTCCTTTTGGAAATACTTTTTGAGTTTTACTAGTACAATAATAAACTATTTATTGCATCATCCAACAAGCATCATTTCAGTTGAACTATTTTCTTCAAGCCCATAATGATGTTTATCTACTGTTCAACGTGCACTGTTTCATCAAGTGGTCCTTTTTTTGGCCAGAAAGAAATCCCAAAAAATAGTGAGTTTCGACCAAGAAATTCGATTACTGATTCCAATAGCGATCAGAGTCATACCCCTTTGTAGATGTGAATTCTGTATGCTTTACAAATTCTTCATTTTATTTGGATATTATACTATTAAAGAATATTGTGAAAGAATATCCGTGTTATTTTTTCACATTAACATCAGTTAATTGATTAACAAAACGATTAAATTGACATTAATTAGATTAGTAGATGTGCTATATGATGTGGTGAGAAATTTTATAATACACTGTGAGTAACTAATGATATATACGATAGTTACTTCATGGGTCATTTTAAGGAGAGAGATAGACACATAAAAAAGATTGAAATTACATCTATACCAATTAAAAATGATAAGAGGATTTTCACGTCCGCTCAAATTTTTTTATTTTCTCTCTCCGTTTTTCTCTCTTTTTTTGTATGTCTATCTCTCTCCTCAAAGTGGGCCCATGAAGTAACTATTATACATGCCACTAGTTACTCCTAGTATATTATAAAATTTCCCATGATGTGGGTGTTCGGGATTTGGGTTTAAAATTTTCTAAGAATTATTTATTTCTCGTTTTCTTGATTATTCAATTCTAGAGACTAATAATATTTTTAAATGGAATTTATTTTTTTATTTTTTCTCAAAATCAAGTTGATGACTAGGACAAGCATGCCAACTTTAAATAATATCTAGAGAAATTATACAGGGGTCCCGGAACTCCACGTCGAGTGAGGACCCCTTCCATTTATTTTTTGACATGTAGGATAAAATAAACCTACCCTTTAATAAAACAATTAACTCTTCATCTTCTCTCCAACCTCCGCCGCGACTCTCTCTCCGTCTCCGGTGCCGGGAAACACTTCCTCCACCGTCTCTCTCTCGGCTATAAAATCGTGCCAACAAGTAATCTCTTGAGAAAATGCATACAATAAAAGGCCTTTCCTAGCTCGGATATGGCATCCCCGTGGGACTAGCTACCCTCTTAATAAGCAACATTGACGGATTATAATCACCAAAATGCATAAAATAAAGTCCCGAGAAAATTAATTTATTGTATAAGTTGATGCAATGAATCAATCAAGAAAAGGGCAAACATTAATTTCTATCCTAGTGAATTTTTAAAGTAGAGATGGTTGCCTATCTATTTGCACAAATACGAGTGCCATTATTGAAAAACGATCCGAGTTGCGGTTGATGAAGTATCCCATGGCCTAGCATGTCACCAACGAGTATAATCAACCTCTTCATAACCTTCGAATGGTGGAAGAACGATCGCAGAACCAATAAGGCTTGGGTCAATCCACGTGTTGCGGCTCTTGATTTCTTTCCCCGTCTCCGGGTCGTTCGGTTAAAAGAAAAGAATAGACCGCGAGTGATCGACGGAGGGAGAAATCGGATGGCGACTTGTTGGCACGATTTTATAGCCGAGAGAAAGAAAGTGGAGGAAGGAGAGACGGACGGTGGAGGAAGTGTTTCCTGGCACCGGAGAGAGAGAGACGACGACGGAGGTTAGAGAGAAGATGAAGAGTTAATTGTTTTATTCAAAGGTAGGTTTATTTTATCCTACATGTCAAAAAATATACACATGTCAAAAAATAAATGGAAGGGTCCTCACCGACGTGGAGTTCCAAGACCCCCGTATAATTTCTCCTTTAAATAATATCTAGAGAAATTATACGAGGGTCCTGGAACTCCACGTCGAGTGAGGACCCCTTCCATTTATTTTTTGACATGTAGGATAAAATAAACCTACCTTTTAATAAAACAATTAACTCTTCATCTTCTCTCCAACCTCCGCCGCGACTCTCTCTCGTCTCCGGTGCCGGAAACACTTCCTCCACCGTCTCTCTCTCGGCTATAAAATCGTGCCAACAAGTAATCTCTTGAGAAAATGCATACAATAAAAGGCCTTTCCTAGCTCGGATATGGCATCCCCATGGGACTAGCTACCCTCTTAATAAGCAACATTGACGGATTATAATCACCAAATTGCATAAAATAAAGTCCCGAGAAAATTAATTTATTGTATAAGTTGATGCAATGAATCAATCAAGAAAAGGGCAAACATTAATTTCTATCCTAGTGAATTTTTAAAGTAGAGATGGTTGCCTATCTATTTGCACAAATACGAGTGCCATTATTGAAAAACGATCCGGTTGCGATTGATGAAGTATCCCATGGCCTAGCATGTCACCAACGAGTATAATCAACCTCTTCATAACCTTCTTGAATGGTGGAAGAACAGTCGCAGACCAATAAGGCTTGGGTCAATCCACGTGTTGCGGCTCTTGATTTCTTTCCCCGTCTCCGGGTCGTTCGGTTAATAAGAAAAGAATAGACCGCGAGTGATCGACGGAGGGAGAAATCGGATGGCGACTTGTTGGCACGATTTTATAGCCGAGAGAAAGAAAGTGGAGGAAGGAGAGACGGACGGTAGAGGAAGTGTTCCCGGCACCGGAGAGAGAGAGACGGCGACGGAGGTTAGAGAGAAGATGAAGAGTTAATTGTTTTATTCAAAGGTAGGTTTATTTTATCCTACATGTCAAAAAATATACACATGTCAAAAAATAAATGGAAGGGGTCCTCACTCGACGTGGAGTTCCAAGACCCTCGTATAATTTCTCCTTTAAATAATATCTAGAGAAATTATACGAGGGTCTTGGAACTCCACGTCGAGTGAGGACCCTTCCATTTATTTTTTGACATGTAGGATAAAATAAACCTACCCTTTAATAAAACAATTAACTCTTCATCTTCTCTCCAACCTCCGTCGCGTCTCTCTCTCCGTCTCCGGTGCCGGAAACACTTCCTCCATCGTCTCTCTCTCGGCTATAAAATCGTGCCAACAAGTAATCTCTTGAGAAAATGCATACAATAAAAGGCCTTTCCTAGCTCGGATATGGCATCCCCGTGGGACTAGCTACCCTCTTAATAAGCAACATTGACAGATTATAATCACCAAAATGCATAAAATAAAGTCCCGAGAAAATTAATTTATTGTATAAGTTGATGCAATGAATCAATCAAGAAAAGGGCAAACATTAATTTCTATCCTAGTGAATTTTTAAAGTAGAGATGGTTGCCTATCTATTTGCACAAATACGAGTGCCATTATTGAAAAACGATCCGAGTTGCGATTGATGAAGTATCCCATGGCCCAGCATGTCACCAACGAGTATAATCAACCTCTTCATAACCTTCTTGAATGGTGGAAGAACAATCGCAAACCAATAAGGCTTAGGTCAATCCACATGTTGCAGCTCTTGATTTCTTTCCCGTCTCCGGGTCGTTCGGTTAAAAAGAAAAGAATAGACCGCAGAGTGATCGACGGAGGGAGAAATCGGATGGCGACTTGTTGGCACGATTTTATAGCCGAGAGAAAGAAAGTGGAGGAAGGAGAGACGGACGGTGGAGGAAGTGTTTCCCGGCACCGAGAGAGAGAGACGGCGACGGAGGTTAGAGAGAAGATGAAGAGTTAATTGTTTTATTCAAAGGTAGGTTTATTTTATCCTACATGTCAAAAAATAAATAAAAGGGGTCCTTACCTCACGTGGAGTTCCAAGACCCCTGTATAATTTCTCTAATATCTATCACACTTTAGTCACGTTTGTCTTGGTAGTCATCAACTATCCAAAGACCAAAACAAGAAGTAAATTACAAGCCTTTTTTTTAAAAAAAAAAAAAAAATTTACAAACCAAGAATTTTAATAAAATAATCTATTATGATTTAAATTCGTAATCTGTATAAGAAATCACTACTATTAATTTACAAGCCTCCTTAGCTAATAAAGGAGTAATAACATTTTTTTTAAACATTTTCTATTTGATATTAATGACAAAGGGTATTGTCCGATTAATGTTTATATACCTAAATCATTTTTAATAAAATCTCAAGCAAATCATCTACATTCCAATTTATATATCTCTAACTATTATTTCTTCACTATTTATCTACTATTTACATTGTGAAAAAGAAAACTGAAAGAAAAGAATGCATTAAAAAAAAAAAATCCTCTGTATTTTTTTTTTTTTTTGGATTCCTAATATATTCCAGCCTAGATTAATCTCTTGCTGTGGTATAGCTATTCAAAATTTTCTTTTTAATATACAAATACTCGAATGTAAAATCACTTAATTAAATAATTAAAATTCCTTCCACTCATGTGATTCCTTGCGTTAAAATCCTTGGTATTATTATTATTATTATTATTACACCAACTTCTATCTATTTGTATTGGAGAAGTTTTCATCCCATTGGTTCAGTCTGGCATCACCATTATATCATCACTTCAAAGCCAAAGAAAAAGCTGTAAAAGCACCTTTCTCTTTACCCATACATCACAATCATCATTATAATACTCTTTTTGGTTCTAAATCTTTTTCTGTTTACCACCATAAGAAGAAGTCCAAAGTTCTGTTAAAATCACATATGATCTCTGTCTTGTTGTCTTCTGAGAACAGTTTGGTTTTTGGCTTTAATGCTTTTGTATGTTACCTTTTCTATAAAGGCTTGCATGTTACCTTTTCTGGCTTCTCTTTGTGTGAGGAATGATTTCTGTTTCCCTTCTCATTAATCTTAGCTAGTTGGGAGTTTTATTTATGGTGATAGGTGCCCATTAATTTATTTCCATGTCGGTCTTTCCTTGTTTTGGTTCCTCATCTCTGTCAGACTTCTAATGAGTTTTGATGCAGGTGGTTCAACTGCTTGAGCCATTGTTAAACAGTCTTGTTATATCATTTTAACTGCTTTTCTTTATCTATTTTCTTTTTCTTTTTCTTCTTCCATGTTGTTATTCCCTTCTTGTTTCTAAAGTTTTACCTCTCCCAAGTCTTGTTAGTTCATAAACTTGCTTGTTGCTCTTTGTTCTATTTCCTTTAGTTTAGCAGATTCTTTCCTTTGCTGCTAGTCTTGAGTTGAGGCTTTCCTTTCTGTCTTTGAAGTACTTTTCCTGTTTTACTCTGCTTAGTTGCTCATAGCCAAAGGCTTAAATGTTTAGCTAACAATATTCTTGCTCATATATTGAGAATATTGATTCAGTCCTTCTTTTTTTCCTGGTAAAATTTCCTTAGAGATTGTATCACCATAGTGGTTTGTTGCCATTTTGAGTTGTCTTGAATTCTGTTTCAAAAGGGCACTGATTAACTTCCTTAAAGTTTTTGTCTTTCCACAGTACTTATCAACCTTGAATTTTTGGCTTGAATTGTGGTTCTCTTATTGTCAATATGCCTCCTATATATTTCCCTCTTCGTTGGGAGAGCACTGGAGACCAGTGGTGGTTTGCCTCTCCCATTGACTGGGCAGCTGCTAATGGTCACTATGACTTGGTGAGAGAGCTTCTTCGAATTGATAACAATCACCTTATCAACCTTACGTCTCTCAGGAGGATTCGGCGCCTTGAGACTGTGTGGGATGATGAGGAACAGTTTGATGATGTCGCTAAATGTCGCTCTCAAGTTGCAAGAAAACTTTTTCATGAGTGTGAATCCAAGAAGGGAAAGAACTCTCTTATCCAAGCTGGCTATGGTGGATGGCTTATGTACACCGCTGCCTCAGCTGGAGACTCAAGTTTTGTTCAAGAACTTCTCGAAAGGAATCCTTTACTTGTTTTCGGTGAAGGAGAGTATGGGGTTACTGATACATTCTATGCTGCTGCTAGGAGTAAGAACTCCAAGGTTTTTAGGCTTATTTATGATTTCGCTATCTCTCCGAGATTTTTGACAGCGAAAGGAGAGTTTGAGGAGCACATAGGAGAAATTCCATCTCTTTACATGGAGGAGATGATGAATAGGGCTATTCATGCTGCTGCTAAAGGAGGCAATTTGACTATTTTGAAGGAGCTCCTAAGCAAATGCACTGATGTTTTGGCCTACAGAGATAAGCAGGGCGCAACTATCTTACATGCTTCTGCTGCCAGAGGGCAGGTTGAGGTAAGGCTCAGACTAATGTGTTCAAGTTGCGATTCGTTATTGCTTCTCTGCTGCAATTATTATATGGCTGCAAATTTTGCTTCTTTATGCCATTTATTGAACTAATCCTGATTACAATCTTAAATTGTTAACAGCAAGCTGATTTGTTGTTTTTCTCCTCCTATAAGTGACACTAGAGGCCTTAGACAATTCATAACCTTGAATTGCAGTTCACATCAAATTTATACTTTGTGTAAAGTTTTTTTTTCCCATCTAGTGGAAAGTCGAACGAAAATTTAATTTGTGTTTAGTATTGAAAATGGGAACAAAAAATGGGTGATATCGAAGAAGGTTGTTTAGATTCTGTCTATCTCTTGTTAAAATAATATCGTAGATGAGATCATGATGTGTTTTGTGTGAATAAGTAATCCAACTTCCTAATCTTGCACCTGCTAGATCTTTTAAGCTTATAAGGATTACTGTTCTTTATGCAGGTAATAAAAGATTTGATAGCATCCTTCGATATCAATAACTCCACAGACAATCTGGGAAACACGGCATTGCATATCGCTGCTTGCAGGGGCCAATCATCTGTTGTTGAAGCTTTGATCGTTACATCCCCCTTATTGATCTCTTCAATAAACAATGCTGGAGAAACCTTTCTCCACATGGCAGTGTCTGGCTTCCAGAATCCTGCGTTCAGAAGATTGGATAGGCAGATTGAGCTGATGAAGCAGTTGATGAGTGGGAAAGTTTTCAAGATGGAAGACATCATCAATGCTAAAAATAATGAGGGAAGGACTGCTCTACACATGGCCATCATTGGGAATGTTCACTATGATCTAATAAAGCTCCTGATGTCTGCACCATCTATAAACGTCAATGTTCGTGATGCAGACGGCATGACCCCACTCGATCTCCTTCGGCAACGCCCACATTCGGCATCATCGGATATACTAATGAGGCAACTGATTTCGGCAGGTGGAATATTTGGCTGTCAGGATTATACTACAAGAAGAGCCATTGCTTCCCGCTTGAAGATGCAAGGCAATGGAAGCAGTCCAGGAACTTCATTTAGAATCTCTGACACTGAAATATTTTTGTACACAGGCATTGAAATTGCATCCGATGCCAATGCAGATCCGGCCGCGGCAGGTCTGAGTCCATCCTCATCAGAGTTGAGTCAGCCTGACCAAACCAATGACAACCAGGGGTCAGCAGTTAGTAAGAAACGAGATTCATTCAATTATGCAGCTCAACAATTGAAAAGGGTTATCCCATGGCCTCGGCTGAAGGATAAAAAGCCGGAAAAATTAAGGAAATCAATCGATCAGGGTTCGGTGGCTTCAGGCAAGAAATGCAGTAGTTCAGAGGAAACTCCAACCCCACTTCGTCAGCGATTTTCAAATGCCTCATCACTTCCAAACCACAAGAGGACGCTGTCTGTCAGGAGTAATCAGTCTAGTCCAACAGCCAAGAAGAAACTAGCCTCAGGGATAATGCATGGCGTTATGCAGGGCATGCCACAAATAACTATTCCAGGTCGATCACGCTCGAGTTCGTTTTCAAAATCATCCATTTCTTCTCCTGGCTCATTGGACAAGCAGAAGGGTGTTTTTATTGAAAGTGATGTCGCTGGACCATCTACTTCAAACCGATTATTTGAGGATGGAACACCAAATGTGAACGACAAACAAGGCTCCACCAGTAAGAAGTTGAGGAGCCAGTACTTCTGTTTTGGTGCATCAAGCCTGTCCATAAAAACACCGGTGAGCAGGCACCGGAGCCAGGGTTCCAATCCCTCTGTTCTCTCAGTGGCTTGATTAAATCAGGTGGTTTGGCTGTAATCACTGTAAGGAGACAACTGACCAGATTGATGCAAGCACCAAATCAACTAACATGGAAGAACATTAGTCAGTCCTCTAGCTGCTTCCAGTTTGCCTTTTTCATCCTAGAATGTTTCCTTGTTTAATAAGATTAGGTTATGTAAAAATCTACTTAATAAAACTGTCCCTTTGAACTGCATCTCGTGTTCTATAAGACATCTAACGTTTTTGAGCTGTTACAACTTCTTTCATTTTCCTCTGGCTAGCAAAATAGGAGCAGCTATCGTTATATTCTTGCCTCCGAACCTTTTCTTTCATTTCTATTATCAATCAATTCAGGCACATTAAGCTATGTCAGATAATTGAAACAGCCTGAATTTGGAACCTAGAGAAGCATTACCATTTGAAGAATGTTATTGCATTTCTGAGATTTTAACCAAAAAAACCTCTTTGGAGAAGCAGTTGGAAAATGGGCAACATCTTCAATATCTAAGATCTATTTGTATTGCGCATGGACAAGCTAGTTCATGATCTCTCGGAATGGCACAAAAGGATCCGTATAGCCTACTTCAACTAGACTGGGATTGAGCTTTGTTGTAGTGTCTATAATTTTAAATAATGACTGTTATATTATTTAACAACCGTTATATAATGGTTTCGAAGTATGCTGTTAATAATATTGTAGTATTATAGTAAGTGGTGATCTGCGATAGTAATCACGATCGTTTTTTCTACTGTCTATCGTTTAAAATTATGATATTGTCCGAAGACAGAAAGTCTTAAATGGAATGCTGCAATTTAAGAGGAAGTAGAACCTATAGACCATGGGAATCAGAACAGAGTCTCCTGCAACAGAGCTCAAGCAGGAATGCTAAGAACTCCATTTATACAACTAAAAAAAAAAAAAAAAACTTCGTAGTTACTGAAGAAAATTTAACTAGTAATTTTATTTTTGAATATTCCACCACAAGTAATCCTAGAAAGCTTGCCGGTTACATATCAGTTTTTTATTGTTAGCTTCCTTTGAAGTCCATTAAGCTTTCTAGCATCAATAGAGTAAATTATAAATTAGTCCCTCTAGTTTTTCAAAACAAATAAAATAGTTTCTCTTCTTTTAAAAACTACTTAATTAATTCATATATTTTTAAATTTATTTATAACTTAATCCATTTTTAAATTTATTTCTTTCTTTTTTTATAAATAGAAAAAAAATAAAAAAAGAAAGAAAGGATTGATGAGAAAAGAAAAAAAAATTGAAACAAAAAAAATATTATGTTAACCGTAAATACTAATTAATTAGTTTTTAAAACAATAGCAATTATTTAATTTATCTTGCAAAACACGAGAAACTAATTTATAATTTACTTGGCATTATGGAAAAAAATAATAATAATAATCACAAGTGGCGCATTCTCCCAAAACGTTGCATGTCATCAAGCAGATCATAGTTAATATGGTCTTTTAGTAATTTAACGGGCAATTTTCCTAATCACAGCCACCCATTTATCATAGTTAATCTTGGTTTATTTGGAAGGAAAAGTGTATGTAATTTTTTTTTTAAAAAAAAATTATATCTATATGTCATGTAAGCGATTTACTTGGCCATTATAAAATCATTGCATTAAATTTTATTTATGTTAGTAAGATTTTTAGATGCCAAAGACCTTGTGGGTTAACATCTTTAATTTTAAATAAAAAATAAAGAATTTTTTCTTTAAAAAAAAATACTAAAGGCAATTGGAGATCCTTTAACCAATTTGGTCATAAAACATGGCATTGTTCTGGCCATTTAATTACTAGGAAAGAAGGATAAAGGGGCTCAAACAATTTTTAATTGGAAATTTTGAGAGGTTGATTCCACCTAATTTGAAAGAGGATTGGATTCCATAAATGTAAAAAGTAAATGGACCATGCATGATTTTTGGCCCCTTCTGGTTTGCTTTCGGACTGGGTTAGATAGCCTTCTATTTGGATGGACTGTGAGAGGTTTTTTTATTTTTGGCCCCTTCAAGTCCTTTTTCTTTAGATTTGGCCCATTATTAATGGAATTCCGATTTTTCTTTCTTTTTTTTTTTCCCTTTCTGACAAAGGATAGAATGTTAGAGAATACAGAGCTGTATTTTGGGCAAATACTAGTTTATTTCACACAGAAGGTTTGAAGCATAGTTCTCAGACCCGGTTTGGAGCCTAATCCGACCAAGGCCTTATATGTCTTCGGGTCACAGATTGACCCATCCGGTTATTAAGTTGTCCCAATTTGATATATATATCAAATTTTTTGGGCAAATACTAGTTTATTTTTTTTTCGTATTTTTTCAAAAAATAAAAAATTGACAACAAATTTTGAAAACTATTTTTATACTATTAACTTATGTTTTTTGAGTTAGATCGGGTTCAAAACATTGAAAAATGAGCATGGATCATGTCCGGACTAGACCCAGAATGCACAAGGCAGTTTGACCTCGAGGTCAATGCTCGAAAGTCATGCTTGGATCGAGTCCAAGATGATAGAGGGTATTGAAAAAGAGTCCTAAAGCTCTCACGATTGGACCAAAATCAAGTCTCGGCACTTGGGGTTTTGAATGCCTAAGGATCTAGTAGGGGCTAAGGAGATTGGGAATCAGGCTGGGATTGGGCGAGGGTGAAACGAGGGAGCTAAGGAAATTGGGTCTGAAGCAGCTGTGGATCGGACCGTGATTGAGTCTAGGGTGTTTGGAGATCGGGCCGAGATTGGATCCAAGGCGTGCTTCAGACGGAGACTATGTTTCAGGTGTAGATAGGGTGGTCGGAATTGAGTCTAGGGCATCCTAGGTCTTAAGGCTTGGTTGGGTCCATGGTGCTTAGAGGCCAAGTTTGAGGCTTATCAAGGATCGTGACAACTTTGTCTCGGACAACGAAGGTTAGGTCTAGGATGCTTGGGTTTAGACAAAGACCAGGTTCAAGGTGTCTACGCTCGAGATCGGTGCGCTCATGAATCAAATTGAGACTAGTAAAGTATAGGATCGTACCCTCAAACTTTGGATATAATGAATGTTGATATCAATAATTTGAGTATCCGATTAAGATTAAGTGAAGTTTTGAAGCAAAGAAAATTGATGAACCAGACAAGTTTTTTTATTTTTTAAAAATCAAATTAAAAAAAAAAAAGACCTAACAAATAGCCAACAAGAAGCTGAATTTTGCAAATACAACAACTACTATCTTCTCCCATGTTTATTAATTAGTTCCCGACTAGAATATATCACGCGCGTTGCCGCGGAGTGAGCTATACAACATTATTCATTTATATAAATTTAAATTTTAAAAATAATTATTTAAAAGTATCATGCGAAAAAAATTTAAAAAAAAACTAAAACATATATTTCATAATTTGCTACAAGGTTAGCTAAATGAAAAATTTGCAAAGTTGAGTAATATAATATTACTAATTAAATATTGTTTGATATAAACATGTATTTTATTTAAAATATGTGTAATAACCGATAATTAAAATAATAATGTGGTAGTTTTTTGAATTTTAGATGATTAATTTTTACCATATATTATTAATTTGTAATTTATTAATGAGACGAGAGAGACCACTCAAAATAAAAAAACTTTGATTTGGCAAAGAAAATAAAGATAAAATTACACACGATAAAAATTAAATGATTACAACAAAGTAAAGATCATAAAAAGGATCAAAATAAATAAAAAAACTTTCACTAAAAGCCAAAAAAAAAAAAACCTATAAACAATGAGACTAAAAAAAATTCATTATGCATAAGGTAGAAACAAAAGTAAAACATTATAGAATTTTAATGATTAAAATTAAAAAAATTAATAAAATAAGAACAAAAAAAAATTTAACTAAAAAAAACTTAGAATAGTTAAACTGTATTTAATTTTTAATGTAGAATGAATAGTAATAAAATATAATAAAAATTTAATTATCAAAATAAGTGAAGTTTTGAAGCAAAGAAAATTGATGAACCAGACAAGTTTTTTATTTTAAAAAAATCAAATTAAAAAAAAAAAAAAAAGACCTAAGAAGTAGCCAACAAGAAGCTGAATTTTGCGAATCCAAGAACTCCTATCTTCTTCCATGTCTATTAATTAGCTCCTGATGTCTTCCATACCTTTCTTACATATTCATGGCATCAGAATGACAACAGCATAATTTTTCCACAAACGATATTAAAAAAAATGTCCAGTGATTCGTATGAAAAGCATGCTATATTATATCTGCTCTTGAATTAATTGGTCCTCTTGAAATGAATAAAAACCAAAATTACCTGATCGAAATTCTTCCATGTTAACATCATCATGGTGGATCCAAGCAAAAGCTTCCGCAGTTGCAAGTCTACTCCTGAGCACGACAATTTTGAATTTCTGACTAAATCTATACCAATTTCCATGTACTTAAATTACTATAGTTGACATAATAGGATAACTTGTCCCTAGCAATTAATACATTATTATTATTTTGTCCTTTGACGTCATGCTTTGAAATATAAAATGCACCTTACATATTTTCCTTGACGGAGTTGAAAAAGATTCCCCAACGGTTTCGATTATGTGGTTTTTGGCTTCATCAAATGGACTAACTGGGAGTAGAATAGACAAGCTTTTACTCTTACTATAACCAAGTTGAGTGTACGGATGTTTCAAGGACTTTTCTAGCGCCAAATAATAGAAATTGGCTCCATTGTCGATGAGTTTATTCCCATCCATCCATTAAAAGAAGAAGAAGAAGAAGAAGACGACGATCAAAGAGTCTTAATTTCCATGTGACAGATTTAGGATAAGCAAACATGATTTTGTTCACCACTTATTAACCTTTAATCTCTTTTAGAATTACTAGTTTTTTGCACGTGCTTAATTTGTACGTGGATGAGATGGTTTTATTTTTTATTTGTTATTTTAGAATGTTTAACTTTTTTATTTTTTTCTGGTCATGTATTTCAAAATAAGTATTTTGGTATCAAATAATCAAAACAAATTATGCATGAAAATAA